TTGGGAGTCAGAGGTAGAGTCAAGCTGGGGGCTCCTCTGGTCCTTTTGAGTCTTTGTGCTTTAAAGTAGAGGATTATTGGACCACTCTCTAAAGGTACTCTAGTAAACAAGATAGACTTGGTCGCTGCTTGCACGGAGCTTCTAAAACCAAAAATCAAACTCACTGCTATCCAGTCAGTTCCAACTAATAGCGACCCCTCCTTGGGTTTCCGAGGCGGTATCACTATTCAAGTAGATTACCCAGTCTTCCTTCTGAGGAGTGGCAGGTGGGTTTGAACTGCCAGACTTCTGGTTAGCCGTCAGATGTCTTAGGCACTATACCACCAGAGCTCCCAGAGCTTCTAAACTAGTGACCAAATCAAACATGGGGTAAAAGAATGACCCATATCATCTAGTAATATCAATTGTGAGTTCCATTTCGGGGAAATGTAGAGTAGTGAACAAGTCCCTGGGTGGTGCAAACAGTTAAATGTTTAGCTGTTAACTGAAAGGTTGGTGGTGCAAGTCACCCAAAGGTACTTCTTCTTCTTCTTTTTTTTTTTTTATAAAATGTATTTTTTATTGTGGGTTGTGGTCAGAAAAGTTGGGTAGAAACTCTATTAGCTTGGATGAAGGGAAAGGCAATATACAATAAAGGGGAGGACAACACAAAACGGCCAAGGCAGTGGGAGACATAGGAGGATCACGAGAGTTAAAGGCAATAAAAGTGAATACTATTACACACTATTACTACTGTGCTACAATAACAGCACAATCAATCAATCAATCAATCAAAGTTGGGAAAACACTGATCTAAATACTTCTAGAGGTCCTTGGATACTACAACTGGTTAACGTGCTCCACAGCTACCAAAAGTTTGGTGGTTCAAGTCCATCTGGAAGTGCCTCAGAAGAAAAGTCTGGCAATCTGCATACTTTCAAAAACTCAGCCATTAAAAACCCTATGGAGTAGTTTTACTCTGATACACATGAGGTCACTATGAGTTGGAGATGACTTGATGGCAACTGGTTTGGTTTCTGCTTTAAAGCCCACCAACCACTCCTCAGAAGGAAGGTTGAGCAATCTACTTCAGTGGTGACACCACCTTGGAAACCCAAGGAGGGGTCGCTATGAGTCAGGTTCGACTTGATGGTACTTAACAACAACAACAACAAAGTAAGAGTGGTGCTTTTGTAAGAACAGAATGCTCTCGTTGCCCATATATCTGTGTGTATGTTTATATGTGTGCCTGATTGGTTGGGTGTCTTAGAGCTGCCATAACAAAAAAAAAACCCCAAAGGTACTTCTGAAGAAAGACTTGACAGTCCATTTCCAAAATACCAGCCAGTAAAAATCCTACGGTGCACAGTTCTACTGTTACACACATATGGGGCTGCCCTGAGTCAGATTCAACTCAATGGCAACTGTTTAGTTTTAGTGCAATGAACAGAGACCAGACCGCCTGCTACCACTTGATCACTTAAGGTGGCTATAGCTTCTTCCAGCTCTCAGTCTTCTTGTGTATAAGATCCATTTAGCTTTTGGTGACAGCTCCCCTTCCAAGGGCTAGTGTTGTGTTGGGGACAGGAACCCAGAGATGAGTAAAGCATGATTCTGCCTGCAAGAAGTATGTAGTCAGTTGACAATGCTCACACCAGTCAGATATATCTCATACAGGGTAGGAGTTATTTTGATGAGCTGGACGGGGGTGGGGTGGGGGGGTGGTCACAGAGGAAGCTCTCTCCCCAAGTCTATCAACATTTATGAGCTTACTGTATGCCAGGCATTGTGCTATGTGCTTTATCCACACTGTCTCTTTTATTTCAGTGAACACAGCAGAGCAGTAATGCTCTGATGTGTAACATTGACCTTTCAGGTTCAAAACAAGTAACTTCTAAGGTGAGCGATGACTTTTCGGTTGGGCATGTAGGCAGCTGTCCTTTGCCTCAGCAGGGCCAGTAGGGCGTGGGTGCCTCCCACAGGGAGTGCTCATCTTTTGTTTGTTCATCTTGTCCTTGAGGGGGAGGGTTCCCACTTGCTAGAATTTTGTTTTTCTTTCTGGTCCAAGATGTCCTTTGATACTGTAGACTGTCTTGACAAAATCCTTGTTGTTTCTTGTGCTACAGGGCTGCAGAGCAGGGGAACCATGGCCCAGAAGTTACCTGGTAGCCCTACATGTAAACTTTGACTCTTTTCTCTGTCCATCTGGCCTGAGTCATGTTGAAGGAGTCCTGTGTCTTGGTTTGTGAGTGGTGGTGGTGGTGGTAGGTGCTTTCGAGTTCCAAATCATAGCAACCCTTTGGACAACAGAACTAAGCACTGTCTGGTCCTGTGCCATACTCGCTTTGCGCCATATTAAGTCTTTGCTACACTTGAGCTCATCGTTGCTGCCACTGTGTCAGTCTGTTTCATTGACCTTTTTACACTGACCTTCTGCTTTACCAAGCATAATATCCTTCTCCAGGGATTGATCCCTCTGACAGCATGGCTAAAGTAGGTGAGACGAAGTCTGGGCATTCTGAATCGCTTCTAGGGAGGATTCTGGGTGTACCTCTTCCAAGATAGATTTGTTTGTTCTGGCAGTCCATGGTATTTTCAATATTCTTTGCCAACACAATTCAAATGCATCAACTCTTCTGTGATATTCTTTATTCATTATCCAGCTTTCACATGCATATGAGGCTATTGAAATACCATGGCTTGGGTCAGGCACACCTTTCTTCAAAGTGAGATCTTTGCTCTTTAACACATATGAATGCAGCTAGGGCTAAAGTCTTAGTCTTTATAAAATCAAAACCAGACACTGCTGTTGAGTCGGATCCAACTCATAGTCACCCCTCCTTGGGTTTCCAAGGGTGGGTTTGAACCACCAGCCTTCTGGTTAGCAGTCAAAATGCCTTAGGCAGTACACCACCAGAGCTCCCAGTCTTCATAGGCAGAGCTGAATTTGTGTCTTGTCTTTCACTTGCTGGTGAAATAATTGTGACTGAATTACTTAACCTCTCTGAGTCTCATCCCTATAAATGAGGATGATGTTAGATTGTTTCCTAGAGTTGTGCACCTTAGCTAACAGAGTGCATCTGCAGCATTTAGTGCAGTCCCCAACACACAGATAAATAATGAATGGTGGCTGTTACTAATCTCTTCTCCTTTTTCTTTCATCAAGCACGATGCGAATTTGGAGTTTTGGGGGATTCTTGACTGCAGTAGTTTTTGCCTTGGGTGAGGTTTTGGTCTCCAAGTCCTTTTGAGGGCCCTGGTGGAGGCCTTTGGAGCTCTTTAATGTTGATGAATTGTCTGTAAGGTTGCAGTCTGGGCCAGTTTTGTAGCCGAAGGGTGTTTGCATGTACTGTTTCTCCTCTAGATATTCTTCCTCCAGATATCTTCATGGCCAACTCCCTCACCTCCTGAGGTCTTTCCTCACAGTGATTTAAAATTAAAGTCCTCACCTCTCTCTTACTCTCTTTCTCACTACTTACCCTCTAAACACTTTTTTTTTTTAAATATTTGATTTGGATGAAAGTTTATAGAGCAAATTTGTTTTCCGCACAACAGTTTATACATATTTTGTTTCATGACATTGATTGTAATCCCTGTAATGTGACAGCTCTCTTCCCACTTCCTCCCTGTGGTTATCTTTTCCCTGTGTCCTATAGACTTTTTTTTTCCATAGACTTTTCACCACCTGAAATTCTATCCTTTCCTCTCCTTGTCTATCTGTCCATCCATTCAGCTATCCATCTGCTTACCATCTGTCTCCCCACTAGAATATAAGCTCCCTGAAGAATTTTATCTGTTTTGTTTGCTGATAATTCCCCAGCTACCAGACTAGTACCCAGCACAGAGTTGATGCTATATAAATAATTGTTGGATGGATAGATGGCTGCATGGATGAATGAATGAATGATAGGAATGAGAGTTGCTCTACTGGATCACAGAACCAGGATTCTGAAATCACTTTGCAGGGTGGTTTCAAATGAAATAAAGCAATGAAATTGAACAAATTAATGTAAAAAACCTGCTGCATAAGTAGATAGGAAATTGATGGAAAATTTTTCTGCTCATTAGAACTATAAGGGACAGGCCGTCTGTGATATGAAGCTGAAGGAGGAGAGTGATATGTCTATTCATTTACGAAGTATTAGTCTTTTTCTTCCTCTTCTTCTTTTCTTTTTTTTTTTAAGAAAATCAGGTAAATGTGGGTAGAACTTTGGATTGGATTGACTTACATATTCCTTAGGAGGCAAGCACTTTACTTTAGAGATCACTGATTTAGTTTAAGATTTTCATTTTGCAAATGGGAAAACTAAATCCTCAGATAGGGAAAGGGGCTGCCCAAGATCCTTCAATGAGTTAATTCTAGACTGCTAATTAATTTGGTAAATGTTTATAGGGCATCTTCTTCATAGTTAATTCTGGGCTGGGTGTTGGGGATTCAGTGATGAGCAAAACAGACAGGAACCCTTGTCCTTCTGGACCCCATGGACAGGACTTAAGCTCTGGTTTTTGACTCCCAAACCAGTGTTCTTTCTTGTACTCCACATTGCATTCCACAGTTGATTGCTTGTCCAAATGAATTAACAGTACAGTGAGGCTGCTAAAAGAAACTCATGTCATCTTAGGTTGCATATTGTTGTTGTTATGTGCCGTCGAGTTGGACCCAACTCATAAGGACCCCTTCTTTGGTTTCTGAGGTGGTATCACTGTGGAAGTGGGTTGCCCAACCTACCTTCTGAGGAGTGGCTGATGGGTGTGAACCACCAGCCTTTTGGTTAGCAGTCAAGTGCCAAATGTCTATTAAGAAACAGAGTGTCCACATCAAGGGAGTGACTGTCCTGCTCTGCTGTGGTCAGGCCAGCCTAGTCTGCTGGCCTCTATTCTGGGTTATTGGGACTGTCTTCTGAGGCACTGACAGATGAGCTTACCCAGAGAAGACTCCTGAATGGCCTGGCCAGCCCCCTGATACACTGCTGTTGTCCTTACAGCTAGGTGGGCACCACGGCAGGGGCTGAGCCACACCAATGGAAGGGCGAGGACCTTACCGGATCTACGACCCTGGGGGCGGTGCGCCTCCAGGAGAGTCATCCGCAGCTTTTGAGCGCCTAGTGGAGGAGAATTCCCGGCTGAAGGAAAAAATGCAAGGGATAAAGATGTTAGGTAAAGCAGACCCTGCACCCTTCCTGTGAGCCCCCTTCCTGTGGTGTAGGGCTGGCATACCCTCCCTGAGCCATCCTCTGTCCCTCCTGGTGACAGTATACCCAGCCCTGATTCCCCAGAACCTTAATGATAGGATATGGGGTGCCTAGCAGGACTGAGGGGAAGGAGGGAAGTGGGGGAGAGGGAATTAGAAGGTATGGTTTGTGGACATAGAATCAGAATGGCCTTATCTTTGAGAGGCAGCAAGAAATGGGGAGAGGCGCTGTCACCAGGGGAGCCAGAGCATGGGTCTCAGATGATGGAGTTAGGGAGCAGAGAGCAGAGCCTGGCCTGAAGCAAGGCAGGAGTAGGCCCCTTGATTTCTCTTCTGGCTTTTGCTTGAGCGGTCCCTACTGCCTAGCACCTTACCCACCTCTACATGGCTGAATTGTCCCCCCCGTCAGCCCCTAACCCAGAGGCCATCTCCTTTCCGTGCACAACCTTTATTGATTTCTTATCCAGACAGGGTCTGTCTTTTGTCCAAACTCCTAACACTTCGTTTGCCTTGCCACCAACTTCTCTGGTCTCAGGCTTTGGGGCTGAATATAGTTCCCTGATTTTCAGAATGCTTTCTCCTTGCTTAGCAGATCCCTGCTTCGGATAGCAGATTGGGGAGGGAGGGATAGACTTTCTCCTTCTTCACTGGTGTAGAAGGAAAATTGAGGCCTAGAGGGGTCGAAGCAATTTGTTCCTGAGTGGATGGCATTTCCAGAGTCTCTACCCCTTACACAGCCCCTAGCTCTGGGAGCTTAGGCTGTGGGTAGCGCTCAGGTGCCTTGGTGGGAGGCCCAAGAGAGCCCTTGGCTTTCTGTGGAGCTCTGTGCCTGGGTATGGAAGGAGTGGGAGATGGAAAGCATGCCAAGGGCCGGTTTTCCCTAGATTCCTACCAATCCTACTTTCTCCAATTGCTGGGCTCTCTTCCTTCTTCAGGCTTGCTTTTGGTGGTAGATTGAAATGGTGCTTATCCCACTAAGCCCTTGAAGTTATGGTGGGAATGAAGTCCAGAGCCTGGAACCTCTGAAGCTGGGCAAAAGCAGGCTTTGGGCCATGGTAGATCTAAGAAAATCCTTTTTGCTCCTCTCTCCCCCATTGCCTCTCCAGGGGAGCTTTTGGAGGAGTCCCAGATGGAGGCATCCAGACTCCGGCAGAAGGCAGAGGAGCTGGTCAAGGATACTGAGATGCTCCAGCCATCCTCTTCCTCTTTGGCCTCGTTTGACCACCTGGCTGAGCTCACAGGTACGAGGGGAATATTTCCTTATACCTCAGACTGCCTAAACCCTTAACAGTGGACTCTGTTCTTATTATGAAGTCCACGGCTTCCTTATTTACCCACAGACCTCCTCCCATTCATTTTTTTGGCTACAGTACCCCTCAGAGGGTCAGATTCAGAAGAGACTTCAAAATAGTCTTGTCCAAAAGTGGCTGGTGACTTATAACTCCAGAAGCCCTGGCTGACATAGTAATAGTTAACAATCCACTGTGTCCAGATATGGCTACAGGACCTTTAGCAGCATAGTTATACTGTGTGCCAGGTGTAGTGCTCTAGGCAGCAACTTTCTGTTACTTAGTTGAAAGCTCTCTAGTCCAATCCCCTACCTTCCATTTTACAATTGAAGCTGAGGCCTTGGGAAGAATCTGGACTTGCCTTTTATCTTGCCACAGTATAGTTCAGATGTAATGTCACATACACTTCATAGTAAAAGAAAGCAGTGGCTGTGACTAAGGATTAAAGTCCTGTTGTGGTCACTTCATTTATTCTGGCATGTGTCAAAGTCTAGGGCAAGGTCTGGGACTGGGGAGAAAGAGGTCCCACCCATGGGGCTTGGGTGCCTCCTACTCTAGCCCCGCATATGGTCTTGGCCCAGGTCACATAGTGGAATAGCCTTCTATTTGGCTGTTGGTTACCTTTACTCAGTTGACAGGTAGAGGTCAGTGATGATCTCAGAGTACGCTGAACTGCAGGTGCTGGGCATAGCCAGTCTCTACCCATCCATTTAGCAGTGTGCCTGCTGGGTGCCAGGCCCAATCTGAGAGTGAGATGTAGCGCTCACCTCAAGGGCTTCCTGTGACATGAGCTCTAGAAGGTTAAAGAAGGAGAGTTGAGTTTGAGTCTTGGTTTTGCAGTTGTTGGTAGTGTGACATTGGGCAAGTTGGTGGGCCCAGGCCTTAGTTTCTTTACCTTTAAAATGGGGATAGAGGGCTGCCATGTGAAATGGTTGAGGTAAGAGATTAAAAACACTTTGTAAATTGTAAACCATCATCCTTATCATTGAGGCAGATTTAAGGTAGCAAGGAATAGTGGCCACCTTGGGATTTTCCCAGTAAGTCCAGGGAAGACATCTCTCTGTCCCTATCATTCCAGGGCCAGTCATCCTTCCAGGCCCTCTTGGAACCATCTTCCATTTTCCTAGATTCACATGGTGAACTCTATCTGGGAACTCTTCTGGCCAGGGCTGCCCTGAGGGGGAGGTATCTGGGCTTTTCTGCTTAGCTTGCTGTTCATTCTTGCTTTCTTGATTCTCCAGGAAAGGATACCAATGTCCCAGCACCTCCCATTGATCCTGCATATGCCAGTGACAAGCCAGAGCCAGTCCCAAAACCTCCATCAAGTGTAAGTTGCATTTGGAGTCATGGCTGCAGATTGCCTGGACCTCAAGGGCCTGCTGGCCTACAGGAATGTGGAGAATGAGGGTTGGGGTCAAGCAACTTGGGCTCTGACTTTCTGGGTGATGTTGGGCAAGTTAATCTCAATATCTCTGGGGCCTCAGTTTCCCTATTTTCAAATGAAGGTCATAGTTAAAGCTTACCAGGAAGACCCTGGTATACACAAGGAATCCCACCTTTATTATTCAATTGCATAATGTTAAGTATGTGGTGATTGTGCACAGTCCTGGGAGAATAGATGGATGTAACTTCTCATATTCTCTAAGGGGGCTCAGAAACAGTCTTCTATAGATGTGGCTTGAGAAGTTTGCTTGGTATCCTAAGTCTCTGAGTTATCTAATGCTGCTATAACAGAAATACCACAAATGGGTGCTTTTAACAGACAGAAAAGAATTTTCTCGCAGTTTAGAAAGCTAAACTCGTTCTTCAGGAAGGCTTTCTGTCTCTGCTGTGGTGGAGGGTCCTTGTCTTTTGAGCTTCTGCACTCGGGCAGTCTTTATGTGATTTGGCATCTCCCCCCATTTCTGCGTCTTCCTTTGCTTATGAAATTCTTTATGTCTCAAAAGAGATTGACTCAAGATACACTATACACTAATACTGTCTCATTAACATAGCAAAAACCCATTTCCAAGTGGAATTGTAAACACAGGTATAGGTCTTAGGATTTGTTGTAGTTGTCTTTAGGTGCTGTTGATTAGGCTCTGACCCATCGTGACCTTATGTACAACAGAATGAAACACTGTCCGGTTGTGTGCCATTCTCAAAATCCTTGCTATACCTGAGCCCACCATTGCAGCCACTGTGTTAATCCATCTTGTTGAGAGTCTTCCCCTTTTTTGCTGACCCTACACGTTACCAAGCATGATATTCTTCCCCAGGAATTGGCCCCTTCTGACAACATGACCAAAGGAGGTGAGATGAAGTCTGGCCATTCTCACTTCCAAGGAGTATTCCGGCTGCACTTCTTCCAGGACAGATCTGCTTGTTCTTCTGGCAGTCCATGGTACTTTCTGTATTCTTCTCCAACACCACAACTCAAAAGTATCAGCTCTTCTTCGGTCTTCCTTATTCATTGTCCAGCTTTCACATGCATATGAGGTGATTGAAAATACCATGGCTTGGGTTAAGGGCATCTTAGTTTTCAAAGAGACATCTTTGCCCTTCAGCACTTTAAAGAGGTGTTTTGCAGCAGATTTTCCCAATACAATATGATGTCTGATTTCTTGACTGCTGCTTCCATTGGTGTTGATTGTGGAACCAAGTAATAGGAAATCTTTGAAAACTTCAGTTTTTCTCCATTTATCGTGATGCTGCTTATTGGTCCAGTTGTGAGTATTTTCATTTTTTTTATATTGAGGTGTAATCCATACTAAAGACTGCAGTCTTCAGTCTTCATCACTAAGTGCTTCAAGTCATCTTCACTTTCAGCAAGCAAGGTTGTGTCATCTGCATATCACAAGTTGTTAATGATTCTTCCTCCAGTCCTGATGCTGCATTCTTCTTCATATAGTCCAGCTTCTTGTATTATTCACTCAGATTGAATAAGGATGGTGAAAGGATGCAACTGTTATGCATGCCCTTCCTGATTTTAAACCACGCAATGTCCCCTTGTCCTGTTTGAATGTAAAGGTTCCTCATGAGCATAACGAAGTGTTCTGGAATTCCCATTCTTCTCAATGGTATCCATAATTTGTTATGATCCACACACTCTAATGCTTTTGCATAGGCAATAAAACACAAGTAAACATCTCTCTGATATTCTGTGCTTTCAACCAAGATCCATTTGACATCAGCAGTGATATCCCTTGTTCTACATCCTCCTCTTAATCCAGCTTGCTTTTCTGGAAATTCCCTATCAATCTGCTGCTGCAACAGTTTTTGAATTATTTTCAGCAAAATTTTACTTGTGTGTGATATTTATGATACTGTTCTATAATTTCCTCATTCTGTTGGGTCAGCTTTCTTTGGAATGGGTACAAATATGAATCTTTTCCAGTCAATTAGCCAGGTAGTTATTTTCCAGATTTCTTGGCATAGACAAATAAGTGCCTCTAGAGTGGCATCCATTTGTTGAAACATCTCATATGGGTATTCCATCAATTCCTGGAGCCTTGTTTTCACCAGTTCCTTCAGTGAGGCTTCGACTTCTTCCTTCACTACCATCGATTCTTGATCACATGCCATCTCCTGAAATAGATGAACATCTACCAGTTCTATTTTGTACAGTTACTCTGTGTATTCCTTCATCTTCTTTTGATGCTTCCTACATCATGTAATGTTTTGCCCATAAAATCATTCAGTATTGCAACTCAGGGTTTGAATTTTCTTCTTTAGTTATTTCAGCTTGAGAAACACTGAGCATGTTTTTCCCTTTTGGTTTTCTAACTCAAGGCCTTTGCACATCTCATTATAATAATTGACTTTGTCTTCTTGAGCTGCTCTTTGAAATCTTCTGTTCAGCTCTTTTATCTTGTCATTTCTTTCCTTTACTTTAGCTACTCTGTTCAAGAGCAAGTTTCAGAGTCACTTCTGACATCTATTTTGGCCTTTTCTTCCTTTCCTGACTTTTTTAATGACCTTTCTTCATGTATGATATTCTCAATGTCATCCCACAGCTCATCTGGTTTTGGTCATTGGTGTTCAAGGTGGAATATAATCATGGTCCTGTTTTTGGCTCTCGTAGACTTGTTTTAATTGTCTTCAGTTTTAACTTGAACTTGCATATGAGCAGTTGATGGTCTGTTCCACAGTCAGCTCCTGGCCTTGTTTTGGCTGAAGATATTGAGCTTCTCCGTCATCCTTTTCCATACATGTAGTTGATCTGATTCCTGTGTATTTCATCTGGCAGGGTCCACCTGTACAACCATCATCTATGTTATTGAAAAAGGGTATTTGCAATGAATGTCATTGGTCTTGCAAAATTCTGTCATGTGATCTCCAGCATCATTCTGTCACAAAGGCCGAAGTTTCTAGCTACCAGTGATTCTTCTTTGTTTCCAGCTTTCGCAGTCCAATCACTTGTAATAATACACCTTGATTACATGTTTAGTCAATTTCAGACTGCAGAAGTTGGTAAAAATCTTCCATTTTCTTGTCTTTGGCTTTAGTGATTAGTGTGTAAATTTAAGTAATAGTAACATTAACTGGTCTTCCTTGTAGGTATGTGTGGGGAAGTACTGATAGCAGGATAGGTCTTGAAATATTCTTTGATATGAATGCCATGCCATTCCTCTTCAATTTGTCATTCCTGGCATAGTAGATCATATGATTGCCTGATTCAAAATGGCCAGTACTAGTCCATTTCAAGGAGCCTGGTAGCGTAGTGCCTAAAGCACTTGACTGCTAACCAGAAGGCTGGTGGTTCAAACCCACCAGCCACTCCTCGGAAGGAAGGTTGGGCAATCTACTTCCGTAGCGATACCACCTCGGAAACCCAAGGAGGGGTCGCTGTGAGTTGGGTCCGACTCCACGGCATAAAACAACAACAACAACAACAGTCCATTTCAGCTCACTAACGCCTAGGATATTGATCTTTATGTATTCCATTTCATTTTTAACAACTTTCCATATTCCTACATTCATAGTTCATACAATCCACGTTCTGATTATTAATGGATGTTTGCAGCTGTTTCTTCCCATTTTGAGTCATGCCCCATTAGGAAATGGAGGTCCTGAAAGCTGTACTCCCTTCTTGTCCATAAGGTCCACTTGACTTTGAGGAGGCAGCTCTTCCCTAATCATAGTTTGAGTGCCTTCAAACTTGAGGTGCTTATCTTCTGGCACTAATGAGACTGTTTCAGGACTAGTCATAAAGTTTTCTGGTAATATGTCAGACAGTGTTTCAACTGCTATTCATAAGGTTTTCACTGGCCAGTTCTCTGAGAAATGGATGGCCCCTTTCTTCTTTTGAGTCTGTCTTAGTCTGGAGGCTCCACTGAAACCTGCCCACCATGGGTGACCCTGTTGGAATTTGAAATACTGGTGGCATAGCTTCCAGCCTGACAGCAATAAGCAAGCCACCACAGTACCACAAACTGACAGACAAGTGGTGGGGGCTTAAGGTTTACAACACATATATTAGAGGGACGCAATTCATTCTCTAACACTAGGGTTGGATGAGACCCAAAGTGTCATTTGGTTTAGCATCTTCAATCTACAGTTAAGATCCAGAGAGATTATGGTGTTTTCTAAGATCCTGCAGATAACTGGGGAAATGTGGAAATGAAAGGCAGACTTCCAGGGTCCAGGGCAGGGCTGACACCCAGACTCAGGTTCTTGGAGGCCATGAGGCTCAACCAGAAACTACACACAGAATTCCTCCCATCCATCCTGCTTCTTTCTGGAATTAGGGAAGGCTGAAATGGTCTTTGTAGAACAAGTTTAATAGGAATCCTAGTGCCAACTGCCAGTTTGAATGGACTATTGGCCTATCAGCTGGTTGTGCAATCAGTGAATTCTTGGAGCAGTCAGGAGATGTGAAGAGTATGGGATTCCTTGGTCACTCAGGATTTGGGTGAATCCTAAAAAAGTCTCTCCACACTTGTTGAAGCTTTTTTGGATTTTTCGCAAAACAGTTTACTCATCTGGGATAGCTGGGGCTGGGAGATGGAAAGGCCAGCACAAGACCATGCTTGGTGGTGGCCATCATAACTGCTATCTGGGTGGCCAGTCAGAGACATAGGCCTGTGAGATGACTCTAGTGCAGTACCAGGAATGCTGAGTTTGCAGGCATTGAGTTTAGTCCCTGCTTGTGCATTAACAAGCTATGTTGTTGTTATTTGTCGTTGAGTCGGCCTCGACTCATAGCGACCCCTCCTTGGATTTCTGAGGCAGTATCACTACGGAAGTAGATTGTCCCATCTTCCTTCCGAGGAGTGGCTCGTGGGTTTGAACCGCCGGCCTTCTGGTTAGCAGTCAAGTGCCTTAGGCACTACGCTACCAGACCTCCCTAACAAGCTATATGACACCCGTTTCCTTATTTATTCAAAGGGGACAAAACCCTCTGGCCCACCCGATGGGTTGCTTTGGGAAATAAAGGAGTTTGTGAAAACACTGTTGTTGTTGTTATGTGCCGTTGAGTCGGACCCGACTTATAGCGACCCCCCCCTTGGGTTTCTGAGGCAGTATCACTATGGAAGTAGATTGCCCCATCTTCCTTCCGAGGAGTGGCTAGTGGGTTTGAACCGCCAGCCTCTTGGTTAGCTGTCAAGTGCTTTAGGCACTATGCTACCAGACCTCCTTGTGAAAACACTAGTACAAGGTAAAGAAAATACAGTCCTAAAGTGTTAAGGGATTCAAGTCAGCTAGTCCAACATCCCTGTTTAATAAATGAGGAGACTGGGTAGAGAGGGCATATGACCTTAGACCATGTGGTGGGTTATAGCAGGCTGTAGGGACCTTGCTTTGTGGTCTCATATGAAATAGTGTGTAAGGTCCCCTGTGAGCTCAGCCTGGGTCGGCTCACCTTTGCTTAGAGTAGGACACAGGGACACACTGGGGATAAGATGAGGTTTTCTGTCCTGTTCTTTGCCCCTCCCTGCTCCCAGCTTCGGTCTCCTGAGGAAGGCTTGAGGTGTCTTCTCTTAGGCAGCCCCTGACTCCCTTTCTGCACAGGGTACTTCCTCTGAATTTGAAGTGGTCCCTACTGAGAAGAATTCTCCGACAGAGAGTGGTGGCAGCTCCAGGAACATGATGGTGAGTGGATAGGCAGGGCCCTAGGCCCATCCCACATGTTTCCTCTGTTTCAGTCCCTGTTCCTGTGTGAGAGGCACGGGGCCCAGTCAGATCCCTTGGGGGTCCTGGGGTCATCTGGGGACACATGAGGGGCTGGAGCTAGGCATGCTTCTTGTTCGCATATGCAAATCTCTAGGCTGGTGACTTCCCAGACTTGGGCCACACAGATGCCCAGCCATTGTGAAAGCTGGGGCATTTCTTCAGCCCTTTTGTCTTCTGTTGAGCACTAGCCATCTCCACGCACACTGTGATTCAGTCCTGTGGGCCTCGAAGCTGCTGTCTGGGTAGAACAGCAGAAGTCAGAAAGGTCCAAAGCTATTTAAGGCAGGTGATTTATCCCTTTATAGACTCTTAGTTCCCTGGCTTTCTTCCGGGGCATGCAGGTAGGAGGTTAAACTTTCCACTTACACACATGTGACTGCCCACATACAGTCCATCAGCCCTGGGTGTCCACCCAATATCCTCGTTCCACACATTAGCACACTTGCTGCCTTTATCCCAACTACATCTTCCTTTTGCTGCTGTCTCTTAAAATGGCAAGCTTATCAGAGAATCATTCTGAGGTCTTAAAGTCTGTCTTTTCCTCCACCTTTCCCCCTCTTCGAGATTTTGTTGTTGTTAGTACATGATCTGACCCTTTTTTGATACCTTGGATTCCCACTGCTTCATCCCCAAAAGAATTTGGGTGTCAAATGCTGCTCTTGTGTTTATTTTATTTATTCACTGATTGCTTGTAGCTAAGAATCCCCAGGGCAATGTCCCCATCAAGTAGTTGTCAGCCCTAGAGCAGCATGCCTTCAGTTATGACTAGCATGCTTCCACTTCACCAGGCAGCTCATAGGATTAGGAAGGTTTTCCATGTTTTGTCTCCTGAGATCTTCTGTCCCTGAGGGCTGTGAGGAGCTGGCTGAGGAGGCAGGTCCCCCTGCTAGAAAGTCTTCTCTCTGCATCCTTGGGCCAATAACTTTATTTGCTTAATATATTCCTGCTTTGCCTCTCTAATGTTCCTGGCCTAGGCTAAGCAAAGAGAGAATAGCATCTCTGGCCTCCAGAGCTTGTAGGCCAGTGGGAGAAATCAGATGCATGAAGCAATTCTTGAGCTTTGTAGAGCAGCATTGGCCCCCTTAACTTAGCCTGTGGGAAAAGAGGCAGCAGGGGAATGAATGCAGAATTGAATAAGTAGCATTACTTCCTGATAAGCTGAGGTGCTAATAATATTCAGTGGGCACTAGCTAAATGCTGAGTTGTGGGTAGAGATCATTTGTATTGCTACAGTGGAGGTCAGTGTGGCAGAGCACTGGATTATGAGTCAGGAAACCTCTGTTTTCTATCCCTAGCTCTCCTCCTGATTCATGAGTGACATTGGGCAAGTTCCTTCTTCCCATGCTTTGGTTTTCCAACCTGAACCATGACGCTTCCTGGAGCTCGATGTCTTGTGATTCCCACAAATGTTCAGGAAAGGGCCTCTGGAGAAAGTGAAATGTGGGCAGGGCCTGGAGGGTTTGCAGAGGCAGAGGGGCCACTGAGGGATGAAGCCCAAGGAGGCCTAGGGTGGGGGAAAGGTGGGAAGCCCAGCCAGATGTTTCCTCAGTTGGGACCAGGTGCCGTGGGACCTCAGATGCCAGGCAAGGGAGCTGGGCTTGACATAGTCAACACTAAAGTGGTTCCATGGGTCCTCAGGCACAGTGTTGGCATAACAAAGGCAGTGTCTTTGGGAGGAGTCGTCTGGGCAGAGGAGAGAGATTGAACTACTCTGACCCTACTGTGCCTCATTTTCTTACTTACACATTTACTAGACGGGGATTTTTTGAAATATCTAGAGCTGTGATTCTTAACCTGTTTTGAGTCTTGGGCCCTCTGAGAAGCTGACAAATGCATGGGCCATTCCCCAGAAGACACCCACTTACACATAAAATTTAGACAATTTTCATCCCCATGTGGCTTTCCAGTTAAGACTCCCTGAGCTAAAGAAGTAGTGCTGTCTATATAGTGCTGTGCCTTTTCTGGGGTTTCAGCTTTCCTGTGTTCGTTCATACTGGTAAGAACCCTGTGAGGAAGAAGGGAGGAGGGGGGATGTACATGAAATAGATGAGGACATTGAGGCCCAAGGGATGAGCAATTTACCCACAAGCCCTGAGTGAAGCCCAGAGTGTGGGAAGATGGTGGCTTCCTCTGCTATTAAGCTAAGCCAGTGGCTGGGAGCCCTGAGTCCTGCCCTGTGAGTCAGCCCCAGACAGGGAACCTGTGTAACTAGAGAATTTCCCTTGGCTGAGCTGGGGACAGAGTGGGAAACTGAGTCATGAGGAATGGGGAAGCAGAGAAGGAATGGGCTGGCAGTGCCTACCCAGGCCTTGGTGAAGAGTGACCTTTGCCTCCTCCCTGCAAGCAGGAGCTGGGCCCCCTGCCCCATGAGGACAGCAACCTGATGCTGCACCTGCAGCGGCTGGAGACCACTCTGAGTGTCTGCGCTGAGGAGCCAGACCACAGCCAGCTCTTCACCCACTTGGGCCGCATGGCCCTTGAGTTCAACCGGCTGGCCTCCAAGGTGCACAAGAATGAGCAGCGCACCTCCATCCTGCAGGTAAGGCTGGGCACAGGGAGGGTTCCCAGGGGAGGCTCTTTGGAATCCAGAGGAAGCCATGGAGATTTCTGTGGGTGATATTGTGAGCAGACTTTAGACTTCTTGCTCAGGGTGATGAACAGAGTAGGCAAGTGATGGGAAGGGAAGAGGAAGGAATTGGGAAATGGGTGGGGGCAATGCAAATGTAATCATTGAGGATAGTCTCAGGACTCATTGATGTGGGCAGATGGGGAGCAGTCCTGCCTTTATTCTCTACCTCCAGGGTGGGGAAAAAGAAAGGAAGAGAGGTCAGCACCTTACAGTTACTACCACTGACTCCATGAGGTGGAAACCAGATTTATCCCCACCTCATAGGTGGATAAACAGCTCTTGATAAACAGCCCTACTTTTTGCCCAAGATCATCCAGCTAATAAATGGTGCTGGGATTTGAACCTAGATCTGACATATTCTAAACCTTATGCTCTTAACCATCATTCTATCCTGCCTCCTCAATTAAATTTCCTTTTAAAAATTCTCCCTATGACATTGAAATCAAGTCAGATTTCCGTCCTAGACCAGGCTAGGCTTTAGAGTTATATGATTTTTGGTTCTAGTCGTGACTAACTACATGACCTTGGACAAGTCACTTAGCACCTCTGTCCCTTACTGTCCTTATCAGTAACACAGAGCTAGGAGTGCCTCCCTTATAGGATTGCAGTGAATTTTAAATGAGGCAATGTACATTAAGTATTGAGTATAGTGCCTAGAACATACTAAGTGCTTGAAAAGTGGTCACTGGTATGATTCACTGAGAATGGTCACCTATACTGGGCAGGGCCCCTTAGCCTTGAGGGGTTTGGGGGTAGGAAAGAATTCATTTATAATTGGTGACTATTTCAAAGATGGAGAAACTGAAACTCCTAAAGGACCTGGTCAGGATCTGGGCTCTGTCACTTGCTATAATTTAAAGTCTCCTTACTCCCTCTTAGGCCTTCCTTCTATGCCAGTCACAGTTTTGTAACCTCATTTGTGTCAGCACACGTTTAAGTGACCACTGATACAAGGAGGGAGTCCACCTTGTGTGACTTTGGGAAGGACTTGGGTTGACAAGGGCATCTAGGCTAGAGACATGGAATGAGGATAGATGTAGGGAGTAGGCTCAGAGGACTCTGGAGAGTGCAGTACTCCCATCTCACCTGGAGTGAAGGGGCACATTGGGAGAAGAGGTTGGAGCAGCTCTGTAGAGGGCTGGGTTGAGGAAGATGTCAACAGCCCTTTAGCATGTCAAAAGCTGAACGTTGGGAAGGTGAACCTGGTACATTGCATCGGGTGAAATCACTGCTGAGCATTGGTTTTTCACCTTTGAAATAAGCATAGATATCAGACCTTGAGAAAGGGGTCCCACCAACCTCTGTTATTTTTTTGCCACGTCCTTGTTTGTTTCCTTCTCAGCTCTCACCATAGTTTGTAATCATTTTATTTACTTTTTTTGTACTCCCTGCTAGGATGGAAGCTTCATGAGAGGGCCAGGTACCTTGTCTATCTTGGTCAACATTATACTCTAGTTAATCTGGTACTTAGTAGGTAGGTGCTCAGTATATATTTGGTGGAATGAATGAGTGAATGAATGAATGAACATATGGATTCATTGGTGAGTCTCCATTAGCATCTCTGATGGATGGTGTTGATCTTGGTGACCTCTGAGATCTCTATCCAGTGGCTACTTTGTGCCCAGCCTGCTTACTTAACCCAGAGACCCTGAGGAAATAGATTGGAATGGCAGGACAGAAGATGAGGCCTCACCCTGGCCTTCCCTAGTGACCAGGAGCAGGACGTTCTGTTCCCTGGAGGCCCCACCCAAGGCCATGGCATACTGGGTATTTACCCAGCCTGTGGGTAGAGGTTGAATAATCCTGTTCCTCCTCAGTCATTCATTGATTTGTTTATTGGTTCATTCAACAAACATTTATCAAGGCCAAGTATGGTACAGGTTCCTCTGTGAGGCTTGAAGGAATCAACAACAATAGGACCGCGTGTTAATATAACTTCTGTGCTTTTGTTCATTGTGTTTTCTCAGCCTGGGATCCCCCATGTCCTACCACCCTCCAGTTCAAGGCTCTCCTCCATTCAGCCTTCCCACTACTCTACTGCATTAGTCAGAAATGGCTATGTTTTGCTGTGGAAACAAACAGATCTGAAATCTCATAAAAAAAGGGTTACATCATATTCTGTGTTGGCAGGTGTTTGCTTCTGCCCAATAGTTACTTAGGGACCTGTGCTAACAGAGGCCCCACTATGTAGTATCCTTTGGAGTACGTCCACATTAGTCATGGCAGGGAAAAAGAATTGTGCATAAAAAACAAAAACAAAAAACTAGTTGCCATCAAGTCAATTCCAATTCATGGCAACCCTGTGTACTTCAGAGTAGAATTACACTCTGTAAGGTTCAAGGCTGTCACCATTTAGAAAGGAGCCCTGGTGTCAAAGTGGTTAAGCACATGGCTGCTAACCAAGAGGTTGATGCTTTGAACCCACCAGCTGCTTCTTAGCAGAAACACATGGCAGTCTGCTTCCATAAAGATTGCAGCCTTGGAAACCCTGTGGGGCAGTTCTGCTCTGTCCTTTAGGGTTGCTATGAGTCAGAATTGATTCAGTGGCAATGGGTTTAGCTTTTTGGTTTGACCTTTTGAAAGCAGATCACCAGGCCTTTCTTTTGAAGTACCCCTGGGTGGGTACAAACCACTAACGTTTGTGTTAGTAGTTGCATGCTTAACTGTTTACATTATCCAGGGCCTTCTGGAATTGTCAACCCAAAGTGACACTTGTCAATTAAACTTCTCTCTCCTGGCTGGAACTAGTCATGTGATCACCTCTAACCATAAGGAGCCTGGGAAAGGGAAGAGAGCAGAAGAGTGTTTAGTGAATACCACTGGCTCTGCCCCACCCCCACTTCTTCATGTAGGCTCCCCCATCTCCCCTTCTCTGGACTAACCTGGGAAGAGACACCAGTTTATGGTCTGCCAGAGGGAGTTTACTCCCAGTTAAGATTCTTAACAGCTGTGTGAATTCTTCATGCAAATTATTTTGCCTCAGTTTTCCTACCTTTAAAATAGAGATAAATTACTTAGCTTTGGAGAAGTTGTGAGGCTCCAAGAAGACAGTGTTTGGGAAAGCACCTAGCCACATACTTGATACATGTTAGGTGCTTAGCAAGTACTATTGAAATATAAAATAACTTAGTACTGATAACATCTAAATTACGTCATCAGCACCTTATCTTTCCTCCTCAGCACTAGGTCTGTCTGGTCCATCTTCCATCTCACAGTGCTTCTGACAGAAGTCCTCAGATATTATCCAGTGACTGACAGTTCACAAGGACTTTCACTCTCACTGTCTTTTTTGACCCTCACAGCAACCTGGTGATGAGGCAGAGAAGGAATAATTGTCCCTATTTGGTAGAGGAAGGAACTCAGCCTCAGAAGTGAAGCCCGAGCCACACAGTGAGAAATTGTGAGGTCTTAACTGAATATCCTGCCTTCTGACATTTCTTTTGACAACACATGAAACTTCCACACTCTACAAACTGGCTAACTTTATAGGCCTCCTAGGACTCACTCATTCATTTCTTCATTCACTTATTCAGCATTCATTCATTTGTGTGTTCCTTCAACAAAGTTCAGTGTGTTGACTTTGTGCTAACTCCTGAGCTAAGGGCTGGGGATCCTGGTTGTATGTGGGGGGTGGGGAGGAGCTCATAGCCCTCTGGGAATTCACAGACTAGAGAGATGTGAGGGGATCGGACATGAAGAAAATCATGACACAATTATGTAGCTCTAATTGTCACAAGTACGAAGAAGGGTAAAAGCAGGCTGCTATGAGTGAGGAGAATAGAGATGACCTTATTTAGCTGAGGTGTGGGAATCAGGGAAGCCTTCTCTGAGGAGATGGCATTTAAGCTATAGCTTGAAGGAAGAACAGAAGTCAGCCAGGGAAGGCTAGAGGGAGGAGTGTTCTAGGTAGTGGGAATGGTGTACTCTGATTTGGAGAACCACGGAGCCCTGAAGCAGATTCTTGGTCAGGCATCCTCACAGCTAGTTCCTAAGGGAGAGGATGTATAGAGGAGTTTGGATGGTCTATTGGCTTGGCCCCAGCTGTCCCAAAAGGGGTCAAAGGAGGGCCAGGCCAAGGGGGTCAGAGTTGGGACTTGGGGTGGCTACAGCCCCTCTTCTGTCCTCTAGTATCTGCCGCATTAGGGATGTACACCCATCCTTACCCTTGCCCCCATCTACCTGTCTGTCCTGCAGACCCTGTGTGAGCAGCTTCGGAAGGAGAATGAGGTCCTGAAGGCCAAGCTGGACAAGGGCCTGGAACAAAGGGATCAGGCCGCCGAGAGGCTTCGGTAAATCCAGGCCTCAGGAGTGGGGATGGCGGAAGGAGGATTGGGTGGTGCATGGCGCTGATTTCTGAGATCAGAAGCCTAGATGAGAGCTGAGACTCTAAGGCCTTGTGCCAGAGCCCTGCTTTGGATGCCAGACATCGTGGTCTTTCTCCTCAGGTCTTGGTATTTCCTTTTTGTGACTTGGACAGGATAAACTGGCCCTTTTAATACCTTGGTGAGTTACTATAAAATGCCTTGAGAGCTTCAGAAGAAAGTCTACAAATAGCTCTTTCTTGGAGTTCCTTGGAACTCACTCCCTTAGCCATCTAACTGGCTGGCTGAAAGAGGGCTCAGGACTTTGCTGCCCTCTGCTGGTCACCGTTCTGCTCTGTCTCCCTGAGAACAGTCAGGGCTCCCTCATCTGGGCTAGTGGGTCTTGAACTAGTAGTGCCTAAGGCATTTGACTGCTAACCAGAAGGCTGGCGATTCAAACCCATCAGCTGCTTCTTGGAAGGAAGATGGGGCAATCTACTTCCATAGTGATACAGCCTTGGAAGCCCAAGGAGGGGTCGCTGTGAGTCAGTGCAACTCAAAGGCACATGATAATAACAACAACAATAAGTGCTTCAGATTCATGGAGGGTGGGGCATTAGAAGTTTTCATTTCTGCCCCTCCCTGTGCTATCAAGATTCTGATTCAGTGTTTCTGAGGTGAGACCTAGGAGCCTGCCTTTTATCAAGGGCTTCTGAGTTTCTGATATTGATAGGCCCAGGACTATACCTTGAGAAACACTGGTCTTGGCTGGCAGAGTTGGAGGAGCCTTTAGAGATCCAGTAGACCAAACCCCTCATTGTGCTCATGGGAGACTGAGGGACAGGGATTTGCTTCAGGTCTCACAGGGAGAGCTGTTCTCCTTACTCCCATTCACTAGAGGGGCCATAATCCCTGCCTGTGCTATGGTCCTGGGTGATTCAAGTGATGAATCTGTTGGGTACCAGCTGGACTCAGGAACATGCGGGACTGTTCTGGGTTAAAGTCAGGACTCACCAGTCCAGGTTTTGTCCCCGCCTCTTGTTTATTAGCATCAACAAGAAAGAGAAGGAATACAAAAGTCTCAAGTGTGGCCACAGTAATGGTCAACTGCTTGAGCCCCTGTGCCATTTTGAATCAGCATGTGCTTCTTTATTTTTGGATGGCCAAGTAGCTGGGAGTTTTGTAGCCATCATCACTCAATCCAAGGATCTGAAAGCCCTAGGCTGAAGGAAAGACCCATGGATTGGAAGATAAGAGTACAAGTTCTCACTGTGTGACCTGGGAAAGCTACTTTACTTCTCTGTTTTTCTATTATTAATGGGAAACCCCACTGGAAAACAGAACTTAAAGAAATAATATGTAGTCAGGCCTGATTCCATTTCACTACTTTTATTGTGTCCTATGTTACCTACCCTATTTTCTTTAGATTTTAATTTGATTCATGTTTTTACTTAAAATTATTATAAAGGCAATTTCCACTAGAGTAAATGGAAACCAGCATTACCTGTAATAAATAGACTATAACTCTAGAAATTAATGCAATGAAAATGAAACCATGTAATACATCCTGACCAAGGAAGAGCCCAAGTATACAGAGATCCCATAGTTGGGGAACCCCTGCTGTTGAAGATCAGAGACTTCTAGGGAAGCCCATAGATTGCCAGTAAGGTAGCCTAAGGATTCCTATTTTAGTTCTGCTTGACACAGATTTCAAGATTTTCCTTAATCAGAGCACTCAGCTGCAACTCAAGTGAGTAGTGGGTCTGAGGCCCCACAGCCTCTTAAACCTAGGGCTGGCATTATGATTTCTCTCTTTGTCTCCAACCCAGGGAGGAAAATATGGAGCTCAAGAAGTTGTTGATGAGCAGCGGCAACAAAGAGAGTGCTTCTGGGCAGCCAGACTGCCCAAAGATGGAAGGCACGGGGAAGAAGGTGGTGGCTAGCCAGCAGCAGGTAGGTATGCAGTCAGAAGTTCCTTCTACAGAATCCTTGATGCTGGTACCGAGCCTCTGTTTGCTCATGGTGGAAAACTTCTAGTTGTTAGATGGCTTTTCCTTACATTGCCCTGACATCCACCTCCCTGGAACTTTTACTCCTCAGCCCTTACTCTGCCTTCAGCCCCAGGGAGCATCCCATTTCCTGGCACCCATGTTCAGAGGCTGGTGGCAGTGACTGTTGCTTCTGGCTCCCACAAGCCCCCTCTTCTCTAGACTGAACAGTTCCAGCTCCTTCAGCCAGACAACTGAGAATGTGGGGCAGCATCCTTTTACATATTCTGGGCATATTCCCTGAACATATTCCAGTTTGTCAAGGTCTCTCTTAAAGGGTGGCTCCCAAAAGTCAGTTAAACATCTCAGGTGTTTCTGGCAGATTTAAGGTGGTAGGTCAAGTAAGTGCTTTATGGGATGTGCTAAGCTCCTGTGATTACAACCACTCACCACCTAGCCCCCTCATCGCACTCCTGGAGCCTCTGAAATGCAGAGGGGAATAGCCAAGCCAAGCCAACATCAGCAGAGCCCTTTCCCCCTTTTTCCTGTTTCCTGTCCCAGCCCTAAAGGAGCTTTGGTTGTATAGTGCTTAAGGTATTTACAGCTAACCAAAAGGTTGGTGGTTCAAACCCACCAGCCACTCCGCAGAAGGAAGACTGGGCATTCTATTTCCGTAAAGATTTACTGCCTCCGAAACCCAGTGGGGGTTGCTATGAGTTGGAATCGACTTTGTGGCAGTGGGTTTGGTTTTTGGTGTTTGGTCCTAGCCCTGGCTCACACCCAGCCCCAAGCAGGAGCCTTACTCTGCATTCCTTCCTGCATTCCTCCCCTGTTCTTTACCTTTTTTCTTGTTGCAGAGCTGAGTCCCAACTCCTTACAAACAAGTCTTTCTCCTTTATAATGGGGTAAAATGACTGCTCAGCAAGGCTCAATGTCTTTTAATCAGGGCTTGGAATTGGTTCATTCCACTTTGAGCTCTTGCTGAGCTCTGGTAACATAGTGCCTAAAGCACTTGACTGCTAACCAGAAGGCTGGCAGTTCAAACCCACCAGCCACTCCTTGGAAGGAAGGTCGGGCAATCTACTTCCATAGCAATACTGCCTTGGAAACCCAAGGAGGGGTCACTATGAATCGGGTCCGACTCGATGGCACATAACAACAAAACAACAACCCCAAACCAAACCCACTGCCATCCACTTGATCCTGACTCATAGCAACCTTCATTTGGGTTTCTGAGGAGGTAAATCTTTACCGAAGTAGATTGCCCAGTTTTGCTTCCACGGAATGGCTGTGGTGGGTTTGAACCACCAACCTTCTGGTTAGCAGTCAGATGCCTTAGGCACTGTGCTATCTGAGCTCCTTATTTCCACCCCAGATATGCTGAATCTGAATTCACTTGGTTACCTGACCAGAGTAGGTTCACCCCAGGCCTCCAGAATCCCAGCCCACATACCTCTCTTCAGACTTTGACCCCTTACATTGGAGCCTGCTTTTCTGCCCTCTTGTGGAAGTGGCTGTGGACTCTGCTGATCCCTCTCATTCTGAGCTACTCAGGTGTGGCGTTCTATGGACAGGCTTCTGTGCTCACCCAAAGTCTTTTAATACCAACTCAAGTCCCTTGACTCCCGCAGAAGGCCAGATGTTCTTACCTTCCTATCAGAGAGTAGAAGCGACTTGCCCCGCCACCCGTGGATCACATAGAAGACATGTGTTAACACAGAGCAGTATGTGCTTGTCCTGGAATCAGAATCACCATTCACCAGCTTGGTGACCTTGAACAAGTTACATAAATTCTCTGGGCCTTCTCTGTAAAGTGGAAATAAAAACTCCTACCTAAAGGCATTGTGAGGATTCAGTGTGTAAAGAGCTTAGCTCCTGGCTAAACAGTAAACAGTGAACACTGGCTGTTGCTTTTAACAGCAGACCTAGTGCTGGCAGCTAGGTCTGCTGGTTTTAGAGCTCTCTCCTCTGGTAGCATAGTGGCTAAGACACTTGCCTGCTAACCAGATGGCTGGCGGTTCAAACCCACCAGCCACTCCTTGGAAGGAAGGTTGGGCAATCCTACTTCCATAGTGATACTGTCTCGGAAACCCAAGGAGGGGTCGCTATGAGTTGGTGCTGACTGGACGGCACATGACAACAACAACCCCTGCCTTTACTCCTCCATGCTGACTCTTCTTTGTAGTGGTTAAGGGTGCATCACCCAGGAGTCCAGCAGCCCTCCCTCCCCCAGTACCCCATTGATGTCCATTACTAAACAGAGTTCCCTTTCAGAAGACAGCACATTTCAAGAAGCAGGCCTTTCTTTCACCTTTCTAAAAGGAAATCATCTTACGTGGAAGTCTTCACCAGTTCAGTCCCCCATTCCTGGTACTATGGTGTACTTCTGGACCTTAGCCTGTAGAGGGTACTTGAGCCTCACAGGTTCTGCCCCTTGACCTTGTCCAAGCCACAGGGACTTGTGGAGGGGCACTGGTAAGGCAGGTGAGGAACTAGAGGGAACATGGGCAGTGACCCCAGGACAAATTGGAGTCAGACAGTGGACTCCAAGCTAATGCTTAGGGGAAGACAGGATGTCAGAGGTTAGGATGGGGCCTTTGGAGATCATTTTCTGTTTGATCTTCTCATTGTACTGAGGCCCAGAGTGGGGGCTTGGTCTTGGCCTGTACAACACAGGAGGTTGGGGATCGAGTAAGTACTCAATATCTGGACTCCTAGCCTTGTTCTATTTGTTCAGCACTTCCTTTTTATTGTTAAGTAAAACTTTTAATTGTGAGGTTGTTTTAGACTTACAGAAGAGTTACACAAATAGCCCAGAGAATTCCTTTATATCCTTTACCTAGCTCTTCCTCATGTTAACGTTGTATACAAGCTAGTTTTCAAAACTAGGAAATTAAGTCTCCTCTGCAGCCTGTGGTAGAGTTCCCCATTCTACCCTTGTCTTTCATGACCTTCACACTTTTGAGTTGTGCTGGCCAGTTATTTTGTAGAATGCCCTTCAATTTGGGTTTTCTCAGTGTTTTCTTATGATTAGATTGAGGTTACGCACATCCGGCAGGAATATTACAGAAGTGATGTTGTGCTTGTCTTCTTATATCATATTAGGGCCATATGATGTCAATAGGTCTTATTACTGGTGGTTGTTGACCTCGTCACTTGGTTAAGGTGGGTCTGTCAGGTTTATTCACAGTAAAGTTACCATTTTCCCCTTTGTGATTAATGAATAATTATTTTGGGGAAGAAACTTTGAGAGTATGTAAATGTCCTGTTTCCACTTCAACTTCCACTCAGTAAGTTTAGCATCTTTGGGTGGATCTCACCTTCAGCACTTGTGGTTCTAATGGTGATATTTTTATGCCCCTCATTCTTTCCACATAGAGTAATGAGAATTCTTCTATGAGAAAGAATTGTCCCTTCTTCCCCATTTATTTACTCAGCTGTTTATTTGTATCACTATGAACTTGATGTTAGGTGCCACTGAGTTGGTTCTGACTCATAATGACCCTATGTACAATAGAACGGAATACTGCCCATTTCTGCACCATACTTAGGAATTTAAGGATATTTATTTTGTCTTTGGGTTATAATTCATTTCTATTATAATTTATTGTATTGGTACTGTATTGTTCAAATTGTTCCACCTGTGGCCATTGTGGAAGCTCTTTCAAGTTGGTTCTTGTACCATTTGATGTGTTTCCATCCTTTTTTTAAAAAAAAAAAAAGTTCTTTACTTTCTGCACCAAAAGATGTTCCAGTACCTCCTTGTATCTCCCCCAGCCCAGCTCGGAAATTAACCATTTCTTCAAGGAGTCTTATTTGTTTTGTTTGGAGAATAGCTTTAAAAACCAAGATCTTGGCACTGGTGGGCTCATTGCTACTGGTGTGTCATTGCTTTGGGCTCTCTGAGAGGACAGAATTAGGAAATATACATAGAGGTACTAATCATGCATACATGCATGCTTGTATTTCTGTATCTTTCTAAAAACATTTTTTAAAATAAATATTTTAGAAAACTTTATAAAGAATTCTTACCTTCTAAGCCAGAAGATTCCTGTGGATGTGGTGGTGATGGTGGTGGTAGTTGGCAGTTAGAGATGGATCTAAAGCAGGGAAAGAAGTGGTTGTGGGAAGGGGAGGGGATGGGAGAGGGGAATAGTACTACTATGGGTCAGGTAGGGGAGATAAATCTCTTGATGGACTAGTGGAAGGGAAACTTAGTGATGGCTGGGACATATAGCCATGTCTCATGGGTGGGAGATGGAGGGCTGGGGCCTTAGAGGAGCACTGAGTACATGAGGGGATTTTTATTTTGAGGCTTTACTCAAGACCCTTTTGTGTTTCTCCTAGGCTAGTGTGACAGCAGGCAAGATGCCAGAGGTGAGCACTTTGGGTGCAGCTGAGAAGAAGGTAAAGATGCTGGAGCAGCAGCGCAGTGAGGTAGGTGGCTGGGAGAGGGAGATCAGGGGAGACCCTTCTTTCTGGGACCAGCAGGACATAGGCCTTCCTTGACTTCCTGGCTCTGGCTGATTCCAGGTCACTGTGGTGAGTTGCCATAGTGACCACTGAAACATCTACCCATGGAAATGATTTGCTACCTTGCCCTGGGCTATCCTGTCCTGATCCCATGTCATTGAGGAGGCAGTGTTTGGGGCATGGCCTGAAACTGTTGAAAGAGTCTAGGAAGACTCCCATGGTAAACCCTGCATGGTAGAGAGAAGTTGTTTTAAGTTAGGCAAATTTCACATCAAGAATGGGGAGCAGAGAGCTTCCCAGCTTGTGGCTCATAGCTGGGTCAGGGAGGGGCTGCTCCTTGCTCCCCCAGGGGATCTGAAGCACCTTTGCAGAGTGTTTCCTGCTGGCTGAGAGTCTCCACAAGTTTAGGTTCTTCCCTTGTATCTCATGCACGTTTCTCCCCACCTCCCACTCCAATGCTCTCCAGTCTTTCCAGACCTGCGGTCGAAGCCAACTTCCCTTTTGGTCTGTGTTTGTTACACTGGAGTGGAGCACGTACCTGCTCTGCCTGTGTATGGGCCATCCTCTTCAGCCCCTCCTCTCCACACAGCTCAGATTCTCTTCCAGATCCTGAGCCTCTGACCTTCCTGGGCCTGCAGCCCACTTGAAGGCTGCCAGGCCTCCATCATTCTTTTATTTATGTGTATGTTCATTACAGATTCCTCTTCTGCATTGCTATGAGTTTGTTTACTGATTATAAAAGTAATATAATGCTCATTATAAGACAATTAGAGACTCTCACCTCCTAGCAATAACTACAAGTAGTAACAGTTTATTGCATATTCCTCAGATTTTTTTCTGTATACTAACTGATCTATAATAAGCAGAAAAATAAGATTGTGTCATGCGTGTTATACTATACAGATTGCTTTATTCTTTACTTAGCTATATCTTTGAGGGTGTCCATTCATATGTATAAAACCAAAAAAAAAAAAACAAACTCATTGCCGTCGAGTCGATTCCGACCCCTAGCAACCCCTCCTTGGGTATCCAAGGCAGTATCTTTACGGAAGCAGATTGCCTAGTCTTCCTTTTAAGGAATGGTGGTGGATTTGAACTGCCAGTCTTCTGGTTAGCAGTCAAATGTCTCAGGCACTACACCACCAGAGCTCCCATTCATATGTATAACATACCATATTTCTTCAATTCTGAGCACTTTTTGTCATATCTTTTTTTTAATGCATTTTATTGAAATATAATTTATGTACAGTGAAATACACAAAACTAAAGTGATATAGGTCAATGCATTTTTTTTTTTTTTTTGCAGTGTTCCTTCCTCTTCCTTCCTACCCCTGGCAACCAACAAAGAAAGTTTCTCTCCATATATAAACCTTTCCTTGACCCTCCACAACAACAAACTAATACTATATTTGTTCTTCTGTGATTGACTTATTTCACTCAGCATAATGTCCTCCAAATTCATCCATGTGATGTTTTGCAGAGTCTACATTATTCTTTAGTGCTGTATAGCATTCCATTATGTGTATGTACCATACTTCATTCATCTACTCTTCTGCTGATGGGCACTTGTGTTGCTTCCCTGTTTTTGCTATTGTAAATAGTGCTGTGATGAACATGGGTGTGCATATATCTGTTCCTATCCTGGCTCTCACCTCTCTAGGATATATACCTAGTAATGGGATTACTGGATCAAATGGTATCTCCAATTCTAGCTTTCTAAGGAATTGCCATATTGCTTTGCACAATGGTTGTATCACTTCACAGTCCTACCAGCAGTGTATGAGAGTCCCAATCTCTCTACATCCCAACCAGCACTTGTTATTTTCTCTCTCATTGAACCTTGCCATCAGTACTGGGGTGAGACTTTTTGTCATATCTTAATACTGAAAATTGAGATGTTCTTTCCCATTGTTATATTTACAGGCAGTCCTTGGGTTATGAATATCTGACTTACAGATAACATACCCTTTAATGTTATATAAATTTGCCTTCCCTTTGAACCATTGAACCAACCCCTACTTGAAACCAAGTCTTCATCATAATCACTTTCACTTGCTGAACATGCAGTTTTTGAATCATTGAAAAGACTTTCAGCCTTTTCTTGCACTAAAGTAAAACTATATAAGAATACTATATACCTGTTCTAACTTACCGACAAATTTGACTTAAAGATGTGCTTAGAAACAGATCTGATTTGTAACCTAAGATTGCCTGTATTTAATGATGTAGGGTTAATTTTGTCCCCTGAGAAGCTATTGGTTATGTAGACTAAGGCAAATAGTATCATCTTAGAACTCAGGAATAAGATAGATGCCTTATATTTTTAAAATAATTTCACAATATTTATAAATTACCTGTAATTTTATACTATAATTTATTTAACCTATCCCATATACTACAGAGAGCTCTGGTGGTGCAGTGGTTAAAGCATTTGGTTGCTAACCAGAAGGTCAGCGGTTTGTGCCTACCAGCCATCCCACAGGAGAAAGATAAAGCAGTCTGCATCTGTAAAGATTTACGGCCCTGGAAACCCTATGGGGCAGTTCTCCTCTCCACTGTGGGGTTGCAGTGATGGAAATTGACTCAGTGGCTGTGGATTTTTCTTATTTCCTGTACTTTCCTTGGCCTCTAGATTTGTTTGTAATACAAACACTGCTAAAATAATCAGCCTTGTGTATATATATCTTTTTTTTTTCTTCTAAGCTTTATTTGGGAGCTCTGGTGGCATAGTGCCTAAGGCATTTGACTACTAACCAGAAGACTGGTGGTTCAAACTACCAGCCACTCCTCGGAAGGAAGGTTGGGCAATCTACTTCTGTAGTGATACCGCCTCAGAAACCCAGGGAGGGGTTGCTATGAGTCAGATCCAACTCAACGGATTTATTTTGTTTTTGTTGAGTATATATACAGCAAAACATACATCAGTTCAACAGTTTCTGCATCTACTATTTAGTGACATTGATTAGATTCTTGGAGTTGTGCAACCATTCTTACCTTTTTTTTTCTGAGTTGTTCTTCCCTTGTTAACATAAACTCACTGCCTTCTAAGGTTTCTATCTAATCTTTCGAGTTTCTGTTGTCAGTTTGATCCCATATAAATCATTCTTACAAGAGCATAATGCTCAAGGCAGACCTTTTTTACTAGTTAATCTAAACTATTGTTTGGTTTTCAGATGACTTCAGGGGATATTTTTGGTTTATGGCTTAAAGATTATTTCAGGCAATAGTTTCAGCAGTTCATTCACCCTTCATGACTCCAGAAAGTCCATGAGAAGTTGAAATTCTGTATTTTCCCCCTTTTGATCAGGATTCTTCTATGGAAATTATGGTAGCTGACACCATTCTGTTTTGGTCTCATGGCAGAGGAGGCAGTTGTTCCTGGAGGCAATTAGCCACACATTTCATATCCTCATGCTATTCCTGACTTTTCTTCCTCTGTTGTTCCAGGTGAATAGAGATTAATTGTTGTACCTTAGGTGGCCACCTGCAAGTTTTTAAGGCCCCAGGCACTATGCAGTGTAGTAGGCGATAGAACAGAAGCACTGAACATGTTATCAGGCCAATTAACTGGGAGTCTTATGAAACCATGACCTTAAACCTTCCAAATCAATGATCGAAATTCCATCAGGTGTTTGTACATAAGCAGACTGAGCACTTACTCTTTCATTTTATTGTTGTTGTAAATATATCTATCACACAACTTTTGCCAATTCAACTTTTTACATTTGTGCAACTTACTGACAGCAATTATAATAATTGACTGCAACAGTACCCTTAATCAATGCAATTTTTCCATCACTCTTCCCTTCCCTCCCACCCTTGGTAACCACTAATAAGCTTTGTTCTCTATACATTATTTACCTTTTCATATGAGTGAGGTCATACACTACTTGTCCTTTTGTGATTGGCTTATTTTGCTCAGTGTAGTGTCTTCAAGCTCTATCCATACTGTGGCCTGTGTTAAGACCATCTAATGGCTAAATAGTATTCCATTGTATGTGTATACTACATTTTGTTTATCCATTCATATGGTGATAAGTATTTAGGTTGTTTCCTCCTTTTGGCTATTGTCAATAGTGCTACAGTAAACAGTGTACATATACATATGCTTTTTTAAATTTTTATTGTGATTTGGGTGAAAGTTTTTTTTTTTTAATTTTTATTGTGATTTGGGTGAAAGTTTACAGAGTAAATTCACTTTCCATACAGCAGCTAACATACACTTTGTGTCATGACATTGACTGCAATTTCCCACAATGCAACAGCTCCCCTCCCACTTCATCCCCATAGTTGCTTCTTCCCTGTGTCCTTCCCTCCCATGCACTCCTGCCCCCTTGAGCGTACACATCCCTTCCATTCTCCCATGATTGATCTCTCCAAGGAGTATATCTACCTAATGTAAATGTTCAGCTCATATGCCTGTCTTTTGTTTGGCTGGAAGCCACAGGGGGGTGGGTTCAGTTCCAGACCTGAAAGGCAGCTAGGGGTCATAGTCTTAATGGTTCCATCAGGCTCTATCAGACCCACAAACCTGGTTCCCTTTTTTTTAAAATGATTTTGAGTTTTATTCCACATTGTTCTTCCATTCTATCCAGGATCTCCTGCATAGGTCCCCCTCCAAGTGGTTGACAGTAGGCGGGCACCATCTAGTTCTTCTGGTCTCATAGTCGTATAGGCTGAGAATCGCATGGCGTACCAGTCCCTTGGACTAATTGTTTCATGCATCTTTGGTTTTCTTCAATCTTCTTTGCTCTGAACAAGGAGAGACCCATCATTGCATCTAGATGACCACTTGCAAGCTTTTAAGATCCCAGTCATTACTCGCCAAAGTAGGATGTGAAACAGTGTTTTTGTATAGTATGTTACAGCAATTGAACTTGATGTCCCCTGCGACTATGGTCCTGAGCCCACAAGTCCAACTACTTGCTTCCTCTAGGTGGCTGGCTATGGCCAAGAAGTGATCTTTGTCAGCTCTATTATATATACTTGGGAATTCTTACAGAACATACAAATACACTTGTAGAAACATTGTCTGCCAGCCCTATATATGGTCATGGGCACACTCCCTGTTGCATAGACATACCTAATAGTTCAGCCGGTCCACCTATCTATCTACCCATGTATCAATGTTTGCCTTCACTGACAACACAGTACTGCATATACATATCTTTTTTGCATAGTTGTATGAGTGTTTCTGTTGGTTAAAATTTTTCGAGTGGAATTACTGGGTTACAGAAAATGAAAACTTGGAATTTTAATACATAGTTTCAAATTGCTTTCCAAAGAGATGTGTGTTCCATAATTGTACACCGTAATTTTATGCTGTTTCTGTGTCTTAGTGTTAGTCTTGTTCCCTGGCGGAGTAGAATACAGTGGTAGTTGATAAAGGTGAATTGCTTTGAGGGAGGACAGATTTACAAAGCAAGGGCTTGAGAGCTTGAGACAGTATCTGTAGTCACTGTTCATGTGCACTGTATTCACTGCACCTTCTGGACCTGGGATGTATGGGTGGGTGGGTACGGGGTGCTGGCTCTCTCTGTTCGTTTTCTGCTTATCTTCTGCTCACCCCAATCTCTCCCCACAGCTACTTGAAGTGAACAAGCAATGGGACCAGCATTTCAGGTCCATGAAGCAGCAGTATGAGCAGAAGGTAATGTGGGGGGGCCATCAGAACTCAAGGCTGAAATAATTCCTGGCTCGACTCTCAGGGTCTCCAGCCTTCATCTCACTGTTCCCTTCAGCAACTCTAGGCCTTAGAGATAGTTCAAGCTGAGTCTCAGCATGGCCTAGAGGAGAAGTAGGGCTGGCAGTCCTGGAGTGCCCAGTAGGGGCTGCCCTGCCTATGTTCCATTGCACTCCTGCCTTCATTGTGCCCCTTTCTGCCTTTGCACCCAGATTACTGAGCTGCGCCAGAAGCTGGCCGATGTGCAGAAGCAGGTAACTGACCAGGAGGCTGAGCGTGAGCAGAAGCAGCGTGACTTTGACCGCAAGCTTCTCCTGGCCAAGTCCAAGATTGAAATGGAGGAGGTAAGTGTGACTGCCAGTCCTTGTATTGTTGCTGTGGCAAACCATTCACAGGGAGCTCAGTGGAGTGAGCAAGCCAGGACTGGAGAGTAGGGAGGCCTGGGTATTCTAGCTCTGGCTCTAGTGGTGTGACCATAAGCAAAAACATTTTCTTACTATGCCTCAGTTTCCTATCTGGAAATCTGGGAAGTTGAATTAGGTATTGCTTTTTGAACTTTCCTGTTTTCATACAGAGGAGCTTTTTGTTCAGTTAAAATCTTATGGACAAGGTGACCTTATGGGGAAGCACAGAATGTAAGGGAGGTCCAGGCAGGCCTGTTCTATTGCACTTGGCAGGGGTGGGTACTGCTTTTAGGGTAGTAGGGGCTGTTTGTGAGGGAGGCTAGCCCATTAGACAAAGCTTTATCATTGTTCCTTAGAGTATGCCGCAGAGTTTCAGTGGTGAGTAGTGCAGTTGAACCCTTTGGTTGAAAGAGATACTAAGCAACAAAATTGATAAATAAATAATAAATAAATTAAAAAGTGAATAAATAAATTAGTAAAAGTGCTACAAAGGAGAAGTCATGGGGATCAGAGGGTATAAAGGGTGACCATACTCAATCTGGGGGAGCCAGGAGCAGGTGTCCTGAGGAAATGCATCTCATCTAGCCAAGACCCTTCAGGACCCTAGGGCAACTTAAAGAAAAATGGCTATTTGGCTGCTGACTCTTGGGGGATTTTGTTTATGGCATGATACCATCTCCTTTACGAGAATTGGATGTTAATGACTTCTGCCTAACTAAGAAAGGACATTCTGCACACAGATTCTGTTTCAGAGTTACTTCCTATCAGTATTTGATACCAGGGCCTTATCTCAATGATGTCAGCCTGACTCTGTGACCTGCCCCCTCCCCTTGAAGATGTGTGTTAGGGAGGACACTTCCTATCTTTTCTAATGAGTGAATAGGCACATCTTGTGATTCACAGCCAGATAGCATGGCTCTTTGGCCCTTCCTTCTTGCACACATCAATAGGTGAGACAAATCCCTGGAATCGCACAGCTCTTCCCTATCAGCTGGGGATAAGAAGCCATGCTTAATCCTGGCATTCCTTGGGCAGGAGTCAGACAACTTGCTGACTAAGGCTGCTGTCAGTAATTCATTGCTGGAAACATCTCACCTACCTGCTTGTAGAATATTGAGTAAAGGTCACACAGCAGGGAAATGGCAGCCCTGGGATAAAAACTAATTCCTTAATGGAGAATCTATAAAACACTGCATAACGTGGATGAACTTGGAAGACATTGTGCTGAGTGAAATAAGTCAATCACAGAAATTGTATTAGTCCGTTATTATAAAAGTCAAGGAAAGGTTTATATATGGAGGGAAATTTTCTTTGTTGGTTACTGGGAGTGGGAGGGGAGGGGAGGGAACACCGTTAGACAGGTAGAGATAAGTATTGATTTGAATGAAGAGAAGGGCAATGTACCAAATGTGAGTGATCAACAGGGTGGCATTGAGGAAGAGGAAGACATAGAGAGGTACATAGGAGGTGCAGACAACAAAGATGAACCCTTTTGCACATAAAATACTGCGTTATCAGTGAAGGCAAACACAGGTATATGGGTGGATAGATGGGTGGGCAGGCTGAACTATTAGGTATGTTTATACGGCAGGGAGTGTACCCAAGACCATGTGTAGGGTTGGCAAACAGTGGTTCTACAAGTGTATTTGTATGTTTTGTAAGAATTCCCAGGTGTATAGTAGAGCTGACAAGGGACAAGGTCATAGTCACTTCTTGGTCACAGCCAGCTACCCAGAGGGAGCTAGTAGTTGAATCTGTGGGCTCGGGACCATAGTTGCAGGGAACAGCATCAAGCTCAATTGGCATAACATACTACACAAAACATTGTTCAACCTCCTACTTTGGTGAGTAGCAACTGGGATCTTAAAAGCTTACAAGTAACAATCTAGATGCAACGATGGGTCTCTCCTCATCCAGAGCAAAGAAGAATGAAGAAAACCAAAGATTCATGGAAACAATTAGTCCTCATGACCAGTACACCATGTGATCCTCAGCCGTATTATACGACTATGAGACCAGAATAACTAGAGGGTGCCTGGCTACCATTGTCAACCACTCAGAGGGAGATCTATGGAGGAGATCCTGGATAGAGAGGGAGAACAATGTGGAACAAAACTCAAAATCATTTGGGAAAAATGAAAGGGGGGGGAGACCAGGTTTGCTGATCTGATAGAGCCAGGTAGAACCACTGAGACTATGGCCCCTAGCTGCCCTTCAGGTCTGGAATTGAACCCACACCTGTGACTTCCAGCCAAACAAAAGACAGGCATGTGAGTTGAACATGTACCTGAGGTAGATACACTCCTTGAAGAGATCAATTATGGGAGAAAGAGGGGCTGTTTATGCACACAGGGAGACAGCTCCGGGGGCAGGAGTGCATGGAGGGATGGACACAAGGAAGAGGTAACTATTGGGAGGAAGTGGAAGGGGAGCTGTTGCATTGGGGTAAATTATAGTCAATGTTATGAGACAAGGTGTGTGTGAACTGCTGTATGGAAAGTGAATTTGCTCTGTAAACTTTCACCCAAATCACAATTAAAAAAAAAAAAAAAAACTAATTCCTGTGGGCGACTTCCTAATCCTTATTATATGAATGTTGTTGTTGCTAATTGTTGTCGAGTTGGTTCCTGATTCATGGTGACCCTATGCACAAAGGGATCAGACTGTTGTGATCTCAGAGGGTTTCCTTTGGCTGATTTCAGAAGTAGATCACAAGACTTTTTTTTTCCTATTCCATCTTAGTCTGGAAGCACCACTGAAACCTGCTGAGCATCGTAGCAACACACAGACCTCCACTGACAGATGGGTGTGGCTGTGCATGAAGTGCATTGGCCAGGAATTGAACCCTAGTCTCCTACAGAGGAGGCAAGAATTTTACCACTGAACCACCGAATGCCTTCATTATATGAAAACTTCATTGTAAAATGTTTAAACAACATAGAGAAAATGAAAGTTTCCCTTGACCACTTCTATCCTCCAATTCCAGGCCCTTCCCCAGATATAACCACTGCCACCATGTTACCAGTGTTTCTAGACCTCTTCCCTACGTATATACACATAGAAATATATAGCCTTTCCTGAATTTGCCCCACCCAACTAGTCTTTCCACTATTCCGTGCTGCCATCCCCTATTTTAAACACTTCTTTGACCTAGAAGGGGAGAGAGCACTGGAATAGGAGAACTAGGTTCTAGCCAGAGCTCACTGTGAAAGCCTCTCTCCTTTTTGGCCATTCATTTCCCGTTGTGTGGAGGGACCTGATACTCTTGAAAGAGCTCTGAGATGAAAAAGCACACTGCTTGTTCCAGAGTGGGTTTGAGAGCAGTGCTTCCACCTAGAACCCTCCCCAGGTTCCTTCTGAGCTGTAGTGATCTTTCTTTTAACCCCATAATACTTCATTTCTTTCTCTGAGAAGGAACCTTTTCTCCCTTACATTATATATATATATAT